GCAGTTTTTTATTTTTTAAGTTTTCAGACCTGAAAATCGAACTTTCGGAACTGTCTTTATGACCTCTTGACGTGTATATCATTAAACCGTTATTTTTACTCAGCGAAATATAATCTCAGAAATTTTACGACTGCATAAATCTGTTACATAACGATTGTTATATTTCAAGATAGTAAATCATCTGAAGAAATCCCCGTTTTGACAAAAACTGAAACTCTACTGAAGAAATAGTAACTTCATTCGTGAATAGGGATTTTCAGTGCGAAGTCCGTGTTAAATGCGGAAGCGGAACAGATGTACAAAGTTGTCAATATTTGGCTGTATCTGAAATGATATTTTGCCCTTTCTATAAGAAGACGTGTGATTTAGAGTTTTTTAAATTTTGCAGCTGCTAACTACTCAGATGCATCGAGTTTTTTAAAAGTTTACCGGGATTCACGTAGGACAGTCGTCGATCTAATGGCGACTTTATTTGTTCATTTATCGAACTGAAATGAAGTTACCTTAACTAGGGTTTATAAATCTTTAAAAGTGCAGGTAATTCGGTTTGGTCTGTTTGAATTTAGTTGTTACACCTTAGCCTGTTTATTACACAGAATTATATAGGTTAGTTGAGGTGAGTCAGGGGAATGCATTAGAAGGCATGATCGTGTTTCCCGCATATTCTGATAAGACTGCCATAAAGCCACGCTATTGTTGTTGTTCACGATCTGCTACGCGCTTAAGTAGTTGCGCCGAAGCAGCGTAGTGAATTCCTTGCTGACGGAAATTAGCAGTTACAAAATTATTTCCCTTTCTCGAGACTTAAATCCGGCACTTCCACAGTCGACTTCTGCCGTTTTGCCCAAGTAGTCAGATTTGAAAAGTAATTTTATCCCCAGTACTAAGATCTAAGATTTGTTAAATGCTGTGTTGTGATAGGGGTCAAATTTTTTCATAGCAAATATCGTTTTATTTCATAATATGTTGTAATACTTGCAGCGCTTCTGCCTTTGAATCCAGATCTAAATTGTCTAATTGGTTTTGCGGAGTATCCGGGATTTCAATGTTAAAAGCTGGCCTACTTCTTTCGCGTATGTTGTTTCCAAACACCTTAAATTATAGTTTTCATAACTTATGACCTTACTACCTACTTATGACCGTACTACCAAAGAGTTCTCAGTGCTATGGTAAATATTAGCACTTTATGAATAATACGGATGGCATAAACAGTTTGTCCAGCAAGTACGTGAATAATACCCAACGTCACAAATACGGATGACAGGACGTTTATCTCTGTCTCATGATGAAAATTAGGTGTAATTCTTGCAAAGAGAAAAAATCAATCAATCTGATTACATCTTGACTGTCTCGTAGGAAAGTATCACTGAATATTGTTTAATGATAAAGCTTGGTATTGTACCTGCGCAATGTATTATTAAGCTTCAATAATCCACTCACCAATTAACACGGAAGACCTGTCGTTATAAACATGCTCGATATTCAGTTTTAAAAAGGTATAGCAATGACCTATCACTGTGGTAAAACATTTGATAGTTTAACATACCTTGAAATTTGTATGTTATTCATAAACTAATCTTTCCA